GAAAACACTGGCCTAAGTGACTTCAGCAAAGTTTGTTTTGCTATCAGGTATAATGCCAAAGGCTGTATGTATGCCTGAGAGCTGAGAACCTGGCTGCACATTCCCCCTAATTAACAATACTCCCAGAGCCGTATGTGTGTGCAGAGATGAAAAGGGCAGCCTCTCAGGGATAACTTTATACAGGGCCCTCATTTTACAGATGAGCACAAATGAGACTTGGAGCAATTTAACAATCTGCTAGGTCATACAGCTAGTAAATAACACAGCCAGGATTCCAATGACAAGTCTTCTTAACGCTCATTGTTTACTATGGGTCAGGCCCCGCTCTACCTATTAATTCATTTATTCCTTTCAACCAGCCCATCTCAGTGACACGGTCACATAAATACTAAGTGGATTCAAATCTAGGCTCCCTGGCTAAGTCAAGGCTCTTTACCACCTGCTGAACTGTCCATCAGTCTTCTGACTCCAAGTCCACTGTTCTTTCTACTACCCCATGAAATTTATGTCTCATTTTCTCTTGAACAAAAACCAACTTTCACCGACTGCAATACCTGAGAGAATGGATAGTTTCAGGAGCAGAGGAGTAGGAAGAACTGTTGGCCTGACTTAGAAGAAATCCAAAGAGGAGACATCCTGGGGGAGGGAAGTCCTCTCTGTCAGTCTCTGGACTCCCACATTCCCCCCCCCCCCCCCCGCCATTTCCTGCCATTATAGCACACTGTTACCTTTTATGAGGAATGCCTGGATATGATGGTGCTCTTTGTATATATCACAAATACATTACATTTACCTACACTAGGAAACTTTTATTAGCACAGGATAACTATTAAAATAATATTCATAGAAAAACAATTAACATAGCCAAAATGTCAAGCCAAGCATTACCTTTGTGTTTATTAGCTACTCCCTCTTTGTGATCTGCTTCACTCTCTAGCAAACGCTGGTACGTGCTGAAGTTTAGATAAAATTTATGAACATAAAATTGAGAAAACACGTTAACCTAATTTTTGCTGGAGAGGATGACCATTTGTAGCAGTGGGCACTAGGGCCACAGGGTAGAGTCTGAGAACCCAAGTTCTACCACAGAGCTTTCAAACTGGTGGGAGGAGAGGGCTAACCAGGCCCTAACCCCTCTTCGACTAGAACAGCAGTGCTGGAAAATACTGGGTTTCCTTATATTCCACCTGAAGAAAGGATTCTACCACTGGAAAGAAAAGTGTCTGTCCTTTTAGCATGGCTTCTCCATCTTCCAGGCTCCACACAAGACGCACTCTCCCTCTCTGCCCTCCCCTGCCCTTTCCCAAACTCATATTGCACCAATACTGTGTCTTCCGTACTATTCTTTTTTTTTTTTTTTTTAAGATTTTATATATTTATTTGACAGAGAGAGAGATAGCGAGAGCAGGAACACAAGCGGGGGAGTGGGAGAGGGAGAAGCAGCCTGATGCGGGGCTGGATCCCAGGACCCTGGGATCATGACCGGAGCCGAAGGCAGACGCTTAATGACTGAGCCACCCAGGCACCCCTTCCGTACTATTCTTATCTCCCAAACTCTAAGGGTAGTGACAGGGCAGGAACCGTGCCTCATTCCTCATTCCCATCCCCAATCAGCTCGGCACACACAAAAAACCAGTGAATACTTGCAGATTCATTTTCCAGAAATGAAGGGAGCATCCTACCCATTACCACATCCACCCCTCATGCACTCATTTGCCTGCATATGCCAAATAGCCAGATAAACTAGACCTGCTTATAAAGCAAACAGTTCTTGTCCTCAAGAAACTGCTATTCAAGTGGAATGTGGGCAGGTAAACTGGCTGTCAGAGAACTTGAGTGAAAGCCCAGGTCCAACGGAGGCTGGACCCTGCACAGACTAAAGCCGGAGCAGGGATGCTGGAGAAGAGTTCTAATGACAAAGGTGGCCTGACACAGAACTTTGGGGGAAACAGCAAGTTACAACTATAATTTTTCACTTTCTAATGGACCATTCTCATTAGCATGCTGTTATTTCTCTCACTGAATAACCAACCAGCCTTCTCTTAATCCCACTAGCCCCCAGCTACAACTTCTCTTGTTCCTCTCTACAACAAAACTCCTCAAAAAGCGTTGTCTATACTCTCCTTAATGCCTCTCAATTTCCAAATCCAAAAGATTATTTGTTAGTCCTCAACTCGTTTGACTTCTCAGCAGCATCTGAGACAACTGATCACTCCCCTCTTCTTCACTTGGCTTCCAGGACACCTTCCTCTTGGTTTTCCTCCCACCTTACCTGCTGTTTCTTCCCTTCTCCCAGACGTCTTAATGTTGGAGGTCCCCAGGGCTCAATTTTTGGCCTGCTTCTCTTCTACATTTACTTTATCCAGCTCAGCTCTATCGGCCAGCTTTGACAAATGCATATCAAGACACCAAACACTTCCATGGCTTTAAATATTGCCTACATGCCAACTACTCCCCAAGCTATATCCCCATTCCAGACCTTTCTCCCAAATTCCAGACATGTAGATCTGTGCAGAGGAGTTAATATAGCAGGCTTGAGTCTATCCTTAGAAAGGCCTGCTTGCAAGGTGGACCTTTGGCTGGCATCTGGAAACTTGGATTTCAGGATTCTCACCATTCTCAGAATTGACAGGAGTCGCTCACTGGGTCTAAACTGTTTGTACAATTTCTTATGCTGAGTACCTGCTTTCCTTCTGGGAGTCTTGAATTTTGGTACATGCTAGGCAGACAGTGCCCATGTGACTAAAGCCAATCAACACCCTGGGCAGAGGTTCTAATGAGCGTCCCTGATAGACAAAATTTCACATATGTTGTTACAATTTGTTGCTGGGGACTTAAGCATGTCCCGTGTGAGCCCACTGGGAGAGGACTCTTGGAAGACCACCTGGTTTCCTGCACACTTTGTCCTATGAGTCTTCTCCCTTTGCTGACTGTGCTATCTTTTTGCTGTGATAAATCATAGCCATGAGCCAGAGCCAAGTCCTGTTGAATCTTCCTAGGCAATCAATGCACCTAGGGGCGGTCTTGGCGACCCCTGACACAATATCCAAATGCCTGATAGCTCCACTTAGGTGTGTAACAGGTACTTCAAGCCTTATTGGTTCCAAAACAAACTCCTGACATGTCCCCAACCCTAAATCTGTTCCAACTGTAGCCTTCCCCATCTCAGCGAATGATAACTCCACCCCTGTAGGTGCTGAGAACAAAAGTTTCTAGTCATTCTTGACTCCCCCTCATACCCATATCCAGTATCAGGAAATTATGTTGGCTGTATCTTCAAAACATGTCCAGTATCCCATCACTTCTCACCACTTCCATTGCTACCACAGATTTAAACCATCATGACAGATGATGATAGCAATACTACAAAGGCTCCATTAGAGTCTATTTTCCACATAGCAGTGATTCTTTCAAAAAGTAATTTATACTGTATCACTCCTACAAAAGCACTGAGAAAAGGTTAGAGGCTGTATGTGATCTGGTCCCCCCATTCCCCCATCTCTTGCGACTCTCAACCTCTGCTCTCTCAGGTCTAGCCACGCTGGCTTTCCTGATGCTCCTCACATAAACAGGAACATTTCTGGGTAAGGTCTTTGTTCCAGCTGCACCGAGAAATCTCTCCTGCCAGGTAATTGCACAGATAACTCATTTTCTTCAACTCTGAACTCAAATGTCACCTCAATGCTGTGCACTCATCCCAATTTTATTTAATAAGCATCTTGCCCTCCCAATCTCCCCTTACTCTGCTCTACTTTTTTCCTCCATAGCACTTCTAACCTACCAATTTACCGTTTTTTTTTTTTCTTTTTTTGGATTGTCTCCCCTAACAGAATATAAACTCCACAAGGGTAGAAATCTTCACCTGAATTTGTTTCCCTCTGCTGAATCCCAACTGCCCAGAACAGTGCGTGGCACATGGGGAGTGCTTAATAAGCCACTGTGGAATGAAAGTAGATCAAGAGACATGGGGCATCAGAATGAATCCAGAAAAGAACCTACAAAGTTTGGAGCTGGATCGAAGGGCAAAAGGCTAGATCTCCAAAGGCCTTGCTTATCAAAGTCTGGACTTGACCCAGAGAGCATGTGAATCACAGAAAGATTTTAAGTAGGGAAGTGACCTGACAGTGCGTTTTAAAAGAGTTCTTTGCCAATGGTGTGGACGTGAGCAGTGGAGATGAAAACTGCAGGAAGCCCAGAGGTTTGTGGTGAGATCTTCAGAATAGATAAGGTATGTGAAAGAGCCGAAGCCTGTAAGCAAAGCAACGTCTGGAATAGAGGCAACGCTGCCCTTGACCTGCGGGACACTGGGAATCGCTCCACGTTCGTGAACCTGTTCACTACTCGGTTAGGGAGAACCTGGTCTAACTGCTTTGCCGTCTACTGCAACTGAAAATCGTCCCTTCTGGAGACCTCTCAGGTTGACCGCGGAAACAGGGTCGGCTTCCCCGACATACTTCCCACCCCCGCGAGCTGCGCACCTTCCCAGGTCTTCAAGGTCAAAGGAAACTGGACACCTGTGTCCTCGAGCTCCGGGTCTGCGCTTGGAGCCAGCAGTAGCGGCCGGGCCCAAGGGCGACTGCCACGGCGCACCGAATCCCCACGTCCTCTGCAGCCCCCGGGTCCACAGGGCGTCCAGAGGCTGGCCGGGCCGAGGCAAGACGCGGGAGATTCACGCGGAGTCCTGGCAGGAGCGCAGGCAGGGCAGAGGCGCTCGTCGCGCCCCTGCTTCACGAATGCGCGCCGGGAAGCAACAGAGTGGGCTCCGGCCGGGGACACAACACGCCCGACAGGGGCGCAGTTACTTGCACGTCACGGCCGCTCCTCCCTCCCTTCCTCGGCCCCTCCCGGCGGCCCTGCAGCCCCGGCCCTCCAGGCCCCGCCCCGCCATGCCCCGCCCCGCCCCTTCCGTCAGCGCCGCCGCGGCGAGAGCGGGCCGGGCGGGGCTCACGGGCGCGGCGGCGGCGGCGCAGCGACCCCTGCTGGAGATGGCGCTTCGGAGGACTGCTCAGAGGACAGGCCCCAGCGGATTCGAGCCCGGAAGCCGGAGCCGTGTTTCCACGTGGCTGAAGAGAGCTTATCTTCATGCAGTGTCCTTGGATTTTCTGGGGTCACAAACCCTTTTGAACATCTTTGAGAGTTATAACGTTGCCTCCATAAAAATGTACATACCTGCCAGAACTTACTAATAAAATAAGGTAAGTTCACAACATCTTTTCCAAGAATAAATTGATTAAAAGGTAACTGGGTCATAACTCTCATGCAGTAGCTGATTAGATGGCCAAATAAAAAAGCCTGAAAAGGGCGCCTGGGTGGCTCAGTTGGTTAAGCGACTGCCTTCGGCTCAGGTCATGATCCTGGAGTCCCGGGATCGAGTCCCGCATCGGGCTCCCTGCTCGGCAGGGAGTCTGCTTCTTCCTCTGACCCTCCCCCCTCTCATGTGCTCTCTCTCTCAAATAAATAAATAAAATCTTAAAAAAAAAAAAAAAGTCTGAAAAGACTGCTTAGCCATGGACCTTGTGGAAACAAACCCTTTTGCAACGTAAAAAGATAAACCAGAAACCAAAGAAAGAACTTCCAAGGGACAACCTGTTTTATACATATCCACATTAATGCTTATGGGGATACATGCTGTTAAATTAAAAATAGCGATCCCCCCCTCCGTTATCAGAGCATCCTCCCTTCTCTTTCCCGTCCTCACCAGCTCTAAGTCTGCTACACATTATTTTCCACTGCTTCCTAATTGCTTCACACAGTGGCTATTTGGTTGCATTCAAACAGTAAGAAAGAGGGGTTACAAATTATTTCAAATGTTGAAATGATACAACTTCGTACAACTGTCAACTCAGTTTATACTGTTGACATTTTGGGTGATATACAGTTGCATTTACTTTCGGAGAAGATTACAGATAAATTGTTAAATCTGCCAGTAATAGGGGTTTATCAGTATTATTATAAACTTACAAAATTACTGTATAATTGTGCATGATTACAGGAGGAGATAAAAGAATACAATGAAAATGGGTTACACAGACCCAACTTGGTCACTGGCCTTTAAAAAAAGAGACATTTCATTAGATGAATCAAGTTAGTTTTTAACTTAAAATGCTAATTAATATTAAAAACTGCTGTGAGATTAACAAGTAGTATGTGGGGGGCTGGGGGTACATATATTTGTGATTTGTAATTTTTTTCTTGGGCACCTGGCTGGCTCAGTTGGTAGGGCATGTGACTCTGGATCTCAGGGTCAGGTGTTCAAGCCCCATGTTGTGTGTGGAGCCCACTTACAAAAGAAAAAAAGAAGGAAACATCCCATTCTTTTTTCACCTGGGCAGGTGGTCCTGGCTGTAGTGTGTTTTGGGGGTTATAGTTTTCACAAATTCAGACCACCTAGTGGACCAAATTCCCATTTCAGTCAACAGGGCTATGCTACTTCAGATCACAAGATGAGAATTTTAATTTAGCTCAAATAATTAATCTTATGTAAAGAGATGAGTAAATCAGATGGTGCCTTTGGTTGGGGCCTGTAGATAAATTTATTTTTTTAATGCAGGAGGAGCAGCTTCACTGTCCATACTCTCAACATTGTTACAGGCTGGATTTTATTTTCTTATATTTCCTCTTACAACTTATTTACTGCTTCTTTCTTTTTTTTTTTATTAAAATATTTTATTTATTTACTTGGAAGAGAGAAAGAGCGAGAGCACAGAGGGAGAGGGAGAAGCAGGCTCCCCACAGAGCAGGGAGCCCAATGTGGGGCTCAATCCCAGGACCCTGGGGTCATGACCTGAGCCGAAGGCAGACGCTTAACCGACTGAGCCACTCAGGCGCCCCTGCTTATTTATTTCTTTGTTTAAGTGGAGAAAGATTACCTGGAGAAGAAAGTTCCTTTCCACTGCCTCACCTTGCTTATCCCAAACCTCAAGGTTAGCTAATCACCAAAAATATTTTAAGAACAATCCATTACAAAGCCCCATCCCTCCACTCTGCACCCCATCTCCTCTCACCTTCTCAAGGAGTTTATTCTTTTGGCTCTGCTCTTTCCTGAATCATCAATTTTTCACACTCTTCCAGATCATTCCTGCCCACACACAAACAATACAAGCAAGTAACAAGTTCTAGTTATCTCACACAAATGAGATATATGAGAGATTATTTAATTTTAAAAAATTGAATAGATAAAATGTGATATTTTCTTCAGTTCACTTTATTTTTGAGATTCATTCCATTTCTTCTTTTTTTTTTTTTAAAAGATTTTATTTATTTATTTGACAGAGAGAGACAGCGAGAGAGGAAACACAAGCAGGGAGAGTGGGAGAGGGAGAAGCAGGCTTCCCGCGGAGCAGGGAGCCCGATGGGAGGCTCTATCCCAGGACCCCGGGATCATGACCTGAGGTCAACCAACTGAGCCACCCAGGCGCCCTGTCATCAGATTTTTAAATAGTGTCAGTCCTATGGATGGAAAATGGCACCTTGTTTTAACTTGTAAACTTTCCCTGATTGGAATAAAGATTGAGTATCTTTTTGTATAGCTGTTGATCATTCAGATTTTCTCTTCTTTGATTTGCCAGTTTATACCCTTGCCCACTTTTCTGTGTAGTTTCCTTTTCCATTCACTTGCCTTCCCGGTGAAGGTAAACACAAGTACCACCAGAACTCTAGGAACTCACTGCATGCATCATGCACAAGACCTGCAACAGAAATGGCTCCCATGGAGTTCAGCGGTGTAGTGATCCTGGTAACCGTGCTCCTGATTTGGGTTTATGAGGCCCTTGCTTAGTTGCTTGCTTGCTTTCTTTTTTTGGAATGGACTATTTTTTAAAAATTTATTTATTTATTTATTTGAGAGAGAGAGTGAGGGCTCATGAAAGAGAGTGGGGGGAGGGGCAGAAGGAGAAGCAGACTACCTGCTGAGCAGGGAGCCCGATGTGGGACTCGATCCCAGGACTCCAGAATCACGACCTGAGCCAAAGGCAGTTGCTTAACCAACTGAGCCACCCAGGTGGCCAGTATTTTTTTTTTTTTTTAGCTGAAGTACAGTTGATACACATGCTACCCTAATTTCAGGTGTATAATATAGTGATTCAACTTCTCTATACGTTATGCTGTGCTCCCCACAAATGTACCTACCATCTGTCACCATACAACACTGTCACAATACCATTGACTATATGCTGTGTGCTGTACCTTCCATCTCCTTGACTTACTCATTCCATAACTGGAAGCCTGTACCTCCCACTCCCTTTCACCCCTTTACCATAATTTATTTTTATTCTTCTGTTGATGGACTATGGCTACTTTTCTGATTTTTTGTTTTTGTTTTTACTATATTAGAAAATGTATCCATGAACCATCTTTCAAATTTATTTAAGCCAAAATTTTCAGAGGGCATCGATTTAGGAGTAAAATTACTGGAATTTTGAGTGTGCGTGTATGTTCAGCCTTATAAGATAAGCCAAACTGTTTACCAAAATGATTATTATCTGACCAAGCAGTATGTGAGGCTTTCCAGTTTGGTTCATATTCTTTTAGTAAGTGCAGCTTTACACTGTCATGCTTCTCAATTTTAATCTAGTGGGAGTGTAATGGTATCTCATTGTGCTGTTAATTTGCGTTTCTCTGATTACTCATAAAGTTGAGCATCTTTTCATTTGCTTGTTGGCAGTTTTTGTTTCTTCATCTGTTTTGTCCAATTTTGTTTAATGATTTTATTTTATTTATTTTTAAAGATGTATTTAAGAGAGAGAGAGAGAGCATGTGCGAGCAGGGGGAGGAGCAGAGGGAGAGGGAGAGAAGCAGACTGTGCTGAGTGCAGAACCTGAGAAGGAGCTCAGTCTCACAACCCTGAGATCATGATCTGAGCCAAAATCAAGAGTCCGATGCTAAAACGACTGAGTCACCCAGGTGCCCCTAAAGATTTTATTTTTAAATAATCTGTACACCCAACGTGGGGCTCAAATTTACAATCCCGAGATCAGGAATCACATGCTCCTCCCAACTGAGCCAGTCAGGCACCCCAATGGCTTCTTATTTTTAATGTAATTATAGGGGAGGTGAAAAACCTCTTTCCTTCATCCTCTTATATTCAGTAACTGGGATCTTTCAAATTAAACTGACAAAAGACAGATTAACAGGAGAAAAAACCCCCAGAGTTTGTTTATGTGTGCAAAGTACATACACACAGGAGAACTGTGATGATCAGCTCAAAGGGGTGGTTAGAATTAGGGGATCTAATACTATCTTAACAAAGGGCAATAAATTGTGGAGAAGTGGCAAGACAAAGGAAAATAGTTTAGGCTTCTAGGGGTAGTAAATTGCAGGAAGATAAATACGGGGGCAGGGGGAACTAATGGAAGAGAAGGACTATTTTAGTAACCTTTGTTATGCAGACTCAATCTCATGCAGTCTTGGGGTGATAAGAGTGTCTCTGGCAGTTCTTTTCTTCCGGGTTGGGAGAAGTAAGGGGAGCGCCTTCATAAAGGAAAATTTATACACCCTGCTTTTAGGTAGAAAGCAGGAGGGTGGAAAGCTTTGCCTTTGCTGTTTTTCAGTTGCCTTCAGCCCCAAATAACGCTTATGCCAAAGTTGCATATTTTGGGGTCGTATACTCTGATGGCCTTCGTAATTGAATCTATCAGTCTTGTTTTCAGTGGCTAACGCATTGTAGTTTTTGTTTAAGAAATCTTTCCTGGGGCGCCTGGCTGGCTCAGTCGGTGGAGTGTGTGACTCTCGATCTCAGGGTCATGAGTTCAAGTCCCATGTTGGGCATAGAGCTTACCAAAAAATTAAAAAAATAAAAAATAAAAAAATATTTCTAAAAAAAAAGGAAAAATTTCCCAACCTTGAAAGTCATGAAGGTATCTTCTCATTTCTTTCAACAGTTCTAGAGTTTTATCCTTCATATTTAAGTCTATTCCATTTGGAACTGTTTTTTATGTGTGGTGTGAGGGAAGAATTCAATTTCATCTTTTTTTTTATCCCCCATAAGGATCACAGTTCTCTAGGTGTTCTTTCATTAGGGACCTGAATGACACCTCTGTCATATGTCAAGTATCTGTGTGTGTGTGTTGCTAAGTTCTCTGTTATATTCCATTGGTCCCTCTACCAATACTACACAGTCTTTTTTTTTTTATATACAGTCTTAATAAAACAGCTGTGTGATAAGTTTTGATATTTGGCAGACCATTCCCCCCTGTAC